AACTAAATACAAATAATCCACTTTCTGTAACTCCTTATATGCTTTCTTTTAGGACAACAGAGTGCGGTAAGATATTAGGGATTACATCACCAACCACTTGTGGCTACTCTATCCTGGCCAGGTTCTGGTGGAAGATCCCATCCAGTTTGGTCTAAGAGGTCTCGCTGTCAGCTTAACCTCTCGGGTTATGGGCATGGGACGGTTGTTGGGTTGGTGGGCATGGGATGGGTATGAGGACTGCCCGACAGCTGTTGCAGTATCACCGCAAATATCTGTCCCATATATAGGAACCATCAGGCCTACTAATGAGTACATGTTACTATTAAGAAATTTCAAAAAAAATGTAGGCCTCGAGTTGCAATATAATTTATATCATCTTCCAGATCCTACTGGGGAAATTTTCAGATAATATTAATTAAGAAACTTTGCAGATCCTTTTGGGGAATTTTCCAGGTAATGTAGAAAAACATCCCACTTCCTATTGATGAACTTTCCAGCTTACAATCCCTGTATTCCTGTATGTGAGTTTTGCCTCCTGCAGGAGCGCTCGTACCTGGACTTCGCGATAGAGGAGGACTATCACCGCTCTGGCAAGTGTAACCTGGATATCGCCCCCGTCGAGTTCTTTCCCGCCGGATTCGGCTGGATTCACCGCAAAAACGACACCATCGGCCAGCTCTTCAACAGGGAGTGAGTACACTCCTCTCTCTCGGCATTCCGTCGCATTTTTAATAGGGAAATCACCCTAAAGGGAGTCATCTCACTAAAGAGGGAGTCATCTTAAATGAAGGAATCACCCTAATTGGGAAATCACCCTAAATGGGGAAGCGCTCGGGGGTCGTAGTCCTAAGGGCCCGACATCCAAATACATAAGAACACAAACTCACCCTCGCAAACACCCGCAAGCAATAACAAAATGCACAGCCCTAAAGAGATCTTATCTCCTCAGGTTCATTAAGATGCAACAAACGGGACTTTTCCGCAAGTGGAAACTTAAATACTGGCCCAAACCCAACGAGTGTACAGGGAGAGGCAGGCGGTCCAACAGTAAGGTAAGCCTCACAACAGCCACACAAGCACTCAGGTGTATAATGATGTATTACATCCCCCACAATCACTCAGGTGTATAATGATGTATTACATCCCCCACAATCACTGATATTAATAATGACAAATACTTCATCCCCACAAGCACTCAGGTGTATAATGATGTATTACATCCCCCACAATCACTCAGGTGTATAATGATGTATTACATCCCCCACAATCACTGATATTTATAATGACATACACTACATCCCCACAATCACCGAGATATATAATGGTGTATGGTATATCCCGCTCCACAATGGCAATGAAATATATAATAACATATGATATAACCCCCATAAGCCCTGAGAAATGTAATTATGTATGGATTCTCCCAGAGCCACTGAGAAAATATAATATATGGTATACACCCTAACAAGCACTAAGATATATTATGACATATATATATATATACCCTCCTCCCACACGCAAAAATATAACCCCCCCCCCCCCCCACAATCACAAGCAAGCACTAGCAAGCACTATAACCCAAGCACTAACGTATACGATTAATATCAACAACACAACATCAACTTACTGTCATCAATACCAGTGATATACAACACTTGGTAACACCATGGTGCTCGGTGCTAGCTTCACTAACACCCTCCCATCATGGGGTGGTGGTGTTAGCTCTACCACCACCACCACTACAACCACCACCACCACCACCACCAGCAACAGCACACGACTCAACACCAGCACAAGCAACTCGCCATCACAACACACAACCCACTCTATGAGTCGTGAATATATGGAACAGACAAGAAGGAAGTTGTCGAAACCAATATGATACACAGGAGCAAAAGAGTCACTTTATTGAAGTAATGGTGGTGGGAAGGTGGGGCTTAAGAGCAGATGTTCGAGCCTGCCAGTACTAGCGGTGACCACACCAGAAGGAACGAACTAACACTGCCCTTCACTGCCACAGGCGCTGGACGTCTCCGACATGTTGGGCTCCTTTACGGTCCTCGCCTTCGGCTTCCTGTGTGCGTTAATCATCCTCTTATTGGAGCTCTACCGTAAAGTGAGTAGTGTGAGGGGCAGTAGTGTGAGGGGGCAGTAGTGTGAGGGGGCAGTAGTGTGAGGGTCAGTTGTGTGAGGGTCAGTAGTGTGAGGGGGCAGTAGTGTAAGGGTCAATAATGTGAGGGGTCAGTAGTGCGTCACAAGTATGAGAATCAGCAGTGTGACTGTCAGAAGTGTGAGTCAGTAATCTCAAGGGTCAGTAATGTAAGGGGTCAGTATTGTGAGGGTCAGTATTGTGAGGTCAGTAGTGTGAGAGGTCAGTATTGTGAGGGTTAGTAGTGTGAGGGTACAGTGATGCGAATGTCAGTAGTGTGACGAGTCAGTAGTGTAAATTTTAGTAGTGTGATGGGTCAGTATTGTGAGGGTAGAGGTCAGTAGTGTTAGTAGTGTGAGAGGTCAGTATTGTGAGGGTTAGTAGTGTGAGGGTTCAGTGATGTGAATGTCAGTAGTGTGACGAGTCAGTAGTGTAAATTTTAGTAGTGTGATGGGTCAGTAGTGTGAGGGAGCCTGCAACACGGTCAGATAATCTTTGTTCATTTCCACCAGAAAGTGAGATTACGCTCGAGGGCCACGACGAACACCAAGAGGACGCAAAGTTTGCACCGAAGCACTATATTACAAGAGCAGCTGTCCAGCCAGAAGAGTACATATGGCCTTCTGTCCGCCATTCCTGGCATTCACGCCATCCCGGTGCCATCTGTCAAGCTCATCCCACCCACACCCGTCCACCACCACACCAGCCACTCCCCCGACTCTCACCTGTCTACCATCGTCGCCCTCGGCGATCAGGAGAACACCCGTTCACAACTGTCACCACGGATACTCGGCCCACTCAAGCACCCGCCCACATCTGAACAACATTGTTACCTTGGGTGCTCGTCCCACCCGGACACCCAATCACACCCATCCACGAGCGCACTCCAACACCCACACACGCCCGTGCATCAGCCTACTCACACACGTTCTCACACAGTTTATCTCTCACTATGAAATTAAGTCGATGTAGTCTTATAATGCCGTCATAACTAGAATCGTTAGCTCTTACAATACACACACATATACACGAAAGAGAGCAGTGGTACTAGATACAGTATCGTGCTGGGTCTTGAGAGAGTGTGCTGAAGAAGTGAGATATTCCCTTTGGTGCTGGATCACGGGAAAGTGAGCTGACTAAAATATTCCCTTTTTTCACTAAAAAGAAACATGGGGGAAGAAGTTGAGTCCTGAATGAGAACCGAATGAGTAGTTATACATGTATGAAAAACTATTATTATTTGGACTGTCCAACGAATTTGGTGTTGCCCGACTAAGATTTTATTTCCCAAGTTTTAAATTCCAAATGTGCCGAATAATTACCAATAACAAATATATATATACATATATGCATTAATTTTATATTCTTAATTCCTAAACAGGTTGATAATACAAGAGACAACACAGGAATGAAAGTCACGACCAAAATATACTAGGCTGTGTTGAAAACTTATTTAAATAAAACATTATTGTTCATATTTTGCTGGAGTAATAAAGCTAAAACAGCTGTAATATTATTATCATAATTATCATGATTGATCAAGAGTGCAGAGTTGAACCACCCAACTTATATCTTTTTTTCATGATTAAGTCCTACAACTCTAGACAGTATTAGAAAAATTAAGCATTTGCCTCTTAGAAAAGAAATATGACCGAGTAGTGAAAAAATATTAAATAGAAAAGAAAATGTGTATTAGAACAAATTTTTCCATTTAAAATACTTTAGAGATTATTTGAATTTGTGGGTTAATATTTGTTGCTAGATGGTTCAAAATAGGCATTTTCTTAACAACCAGCGATAGCATCATGTCATCCTATGATCAACGGAAATTAGCCTAATTATTAGTATCAAAGCATTTTAATTCACTCGCTAGCAATCATCGATCTCGTCCTCAGAGCATATCCACTACCATAAGAGACCACACACCACCCCCCTTCAACACCTGAATAGTTATCTATATATTAGTGATGATCTAAAAGCATATTACACTTCCAGTAATAGGCTGCATGTAAACTGTTAAGTGAACCTTTGTTCTAAATAGCGATTATTCTCAAGTTATAACTTTACAGTATTATAAATCGTTGCTTTAAAATTCAAAAAGTTTATGTTGAAAACGTTTTCTTTGGTTTTCTGTAAATGGAATTCTCTAGTACACTGAAATAGTTTTTGAATTCCATATTTCCCATTGTCGTCAATAATACACTTCATTACTGTAACCAAACGTAATGAACCCTAACCTACCATAATTAAACCTTCACTTAAGGTAACCTTAACCTAAAGTAACCATGGATAGAGAGTATATAAAAGCATTAATTATGTAGTCGTTATCAATCCATTCCCTTCAGCTTATTCCCTCTCGAGAACAGGTTGCAACCAGCTTACTTTCGATGGCAATGTTACAGATTTTCAGATAACTTACGCATAAGCTCATGATTCTAACAAGTATCCGAGGCGAGCACCAGCCATCGAATGTACATTATCAATTAACTGAAAGCAACAAAATGTTTACAAATCCACAAGGAAATCACAATAACATGATATATCTATGTGAAAATCTTTGGAGAGGATATTCTCAAAGTCATATCACGTTATTGTGATTTCAGTGTGTATTTGAAGGGAGAGTTTGGTGAAGTGCTCCAGTACCTTCGCCAGAGTGTAAGAGGGTTATATGTAAAACTTGGACTGGCTTCCAGTTCTGTGCCTCCAGGCTCCTGGTAGATCCTAGTGGATCCTAGGTTGTGTAAGCATTAGCATATCTCGGTCTATAGGTTAAGACGCTCATCTGGGATTACTCAGGGACGCTGGTTCCATCTCTATCCTACTCCAAGAATTTCTCAATAAATGTTTGTTTTTATTATAATATCCAATCATGCAAGAAACCATTAGGATACAATTTTCAATCCTCAAAAAATTATAGAACCAATGGCTAATATGGATGGAATGTACAAAATATAGACTGTTAATATTAGCCTATCTAAGGCCTAACATATGAAGTATTTATGATAAATTTAGAACATATCAGTATTATACTAGGCTTAGAAAATGTAATGAACAATAATTACAAAAAAGTGCCCCAATATGATTTTGTTTAAAAAAGTTAATGATACCCATGTATTTAACTGCTATGAAGAACGATGATAAAGCCATGGCTCACGGTATGGTAAAAATACTTTATAAATTTCAGGGCCTTAAATATCAGTATTGCTTAAAGACAATAATAATATTAATGGAAAAATAACTTGGTTTACACGTAAATGACTTAATATCGACTATTTTAGCTTCTTTCCACCAGTTGGGCCTACAATACCAAGTGACAAAATGAACTGTGATTACGAATAACATAGCTACTATAGGCCTAAATGAGGCTTCTTACACAGAGAGTAATCACACTAACGTGACTGCATAATGAGAAAATCTAGAGGAGCAGTGATGAGGGGTCGAACCTATTCACACGCTTCTTATTAACTCTACAGCTGATTATTATCATTGTATCAAAGTGATGAAGAATAAGAATTACAGGGTATTCATGTGAGACCTTTACAAAACTTGTAATCAAGGCACAATTTATACACAAAACTTAAGATAAATTCTCTCTCATTTTAGTTAACAAATGCACAATTAATGATGACTTAATTTATTTTAGGCTTTGTGGGTAAATTATGATATGATTCGGAGCGGTCAAGGATTCATGTGGACACCGAAAATTTAATCCTTATAATGGTTGTGCTCTAGTAGAATATAACTGCACATTCGGCCCAGCCTCCTGTTGTGGTAGTACTTAAAGGAAGGATACGGGCCATAGTACTGTACATATACCGACGTACAACGCAATTAGAAAGTAGAAATCAGTACTATTGAATTTGGGCAAACCGGAAAAAGATTTTCTACTTATGTTGCAAAGAAAAACTAAACTATCCTAACCTAACCTTCCTAATCCTAATACTGTACATTTAATATAGTAAATATGTGTGCTATACTAGACCAATGAATAATTAAGTTTGTTTTTTAGCTTCATTTTTCTCGGACTCAATAAAATTAATAGTACAAAGTTCTACTATCAAATTGCTTAGTACGACAATATTTGTACTATGATGCAAATAGTTACAAAAAGTATTATCTAAACAGGAGGATGGGTTTAGGTGCACTGTGGTGCACTAGGCTGTCTGCTCTATACACTGGAGGAATGTTAACTCTCATACCAATTTATTTGTCTTGCGACTTTCAAACTTTCTTAGTTCTCTCTTGGGGTATATTTTGTTTTGTTTTGTTTTGTTTTTCATATGGTGTAATAAAATATTGTGAGGGGTGCGCGTGCCTTCAGAGAATTGTTTGTTACTTATTCTCTGAAAGATACTTCAATGATTTATGGTTGTTAAAAGATGACTCGTGTTTCGATCTTTCCATTGATAAAACGTAAGTGAATTGTTGCAGGTGATTATTGACCACCAATATTGTCCCAATGATCTGGGACAATATTGCTCTTCACAGCCGTCAACATAAACAATGGTTCACACATTACACCCATACGGAATTCAATGGTCGTACGAAGATACTTTAATAATTTTCACTTGGTTTTCCTAAGTACATCTGCTACTTCATAACTGTTAACTGCACCAAGATAGCTATTGAACAGAAAACATGTCATAACGATTGTTAAAACTGATCTTGACCTAACCAAGCCTGGCGTATTACAACTAACCCTAAGCTAAAACATTCTAACCTAACAACATATAGTCTAACCAATAGAATGATGAGCTTTGTCGACTCGTCTTGTGGACGACTGACCGAGGACTGACAACATCTTACTGAATAGACTTGAGTAAATTGAACTTACCGTCGTGTCTGCTCGCCTGCCACCAGAAGTCTTAATATAATCGGTTTCCACACGCACACAAGACAATTAATCGTACCTTTTTCACTATTTCCACCTTCCACTGTATCTCTGGTTAAATATAATCACCATGTACAAATGGTAAATGCGAGATATACCATTTTATCTATAAAAAAAACTGTCCCATCACCAAGCGCTCCAAACGTAAACATCTTCGGAGTTCGAAAGCCTTGATGTGTCATGTGGATTGAAGATTTACGTACATTTAGTCTTTAGAATTCAAAGCAATTAATAATATAAATTTGTAAATATATATTTGCTAGTGAGAATGCATTATTACACTTGAACAAAAAATAGGTTAAAAGAAAACGATAATAAAATTACTATTAAAATACATGAGGAAGCCAAAGCCGATGCGTAAGGTCAGGGATTGAGATGGGTTATTGTACGAAGTCATCGCCATGCTGTGTTCGGTCAACCTGGCGTGCACCTCACACATGCCTTCAACACCACCCGCACTAAACTTAATTTAACATCGGTATTTTTTCATATATAAATTTTATATTGGTATTTATTGGCGTTTCAACATATGAAATGCATGTAAAATCCGTTGACTGCTGACCACAATGAAACTGGTCATTTTCAGATTTTGGCTAACTGTTGAATTTAGGGTAATGAAAGAAATACCATTAATGTTTATATAACTATAATATATATGTACTGAATATAGAACAATAATAAAGCTAAAAATATTCAGCTTAATATGAGAAAGTAATGGATATTAATATTAGAATGTTTTTGATCTTCACAAAATTTTAACAACATTTACAAAACAAAATCAATAATATATATATATATATATATATATATATATATATATATATATATATATATATATATATATATATATATATATATATATATATATATATATTTTAACTGCAATTATATATGTTCTCTTTAAGAAATTAATTATCCAAAGATAATGATTTTTTTATTAAATTTGTGTTTGATACAAAACAAAATATTTGTTTCTAATCCAAAATAAACAAGTTGATGGATGAACAGAACCACGTTTACACAAGAAAAGAGAATGAATATGCTAATATAGAAAACATTCCAGTATGAAGTGTTCACCATCAGATGTGATAAATAACGAGTATGATGGTAAACCTCAACAAAATATATATATACAGTTTGATAACACAAGCGTCTACCGTCATGCTGGTGTATTTACAGCATATGGTCTACTGATATCCTAGCGAGGCGGCTATTATCTACAACAAGCTTCATATATTGCCAACATATTATAATGAATCCAGTTCAGTTCCTATAGTTGTGAAGAATAATTTACGTCATTACTATTTAATGTTCTGGTCGCTATGTTTTAATCTGCCTATGTTGTATCTTGAGTAAATGTCTAAGAATTAATTATCAAAAGAAAGTGTATAGCCAGAAAGGCTATATAACACCTCCTGCTATATAGCCAGGAAGCCTATACAGCAGGAAAGCTATGTCACTAAGGTGGGCAGAACAGAGTTCCAAAAGTACTAAATTCATGGAACTTGGTACGTTATGAGTGCCATGACTAGGAAAGTCGGTCCTTGTTTCAGCTAGGGCCGAAATGGGGAGCAATTTTAGTGCCCGACGTTCCTCGGTCCTTTAATTAAAATATGAAATACTAGGATTGTATGTTATTTACAGATACAAAAGTCAGTATTTCTGAAAAGATCAGGACTCAGTGACAGCCATTTTGAAATGATAGTCTTCTTGAAAAGAAGTAAAGCACCCAGTTTATTATATTTTTCTAGTTTCGTTACATCGCTTATATTTAATGTAAGGACAGAGGGCCGAGTCGATCATAGTTCCTTCCTTCTGAAAGAACCGTGACTGACTGAGTTCATCGGTCCATTTTGAGGACCGGGTACCCATCTTCCATCACAGAGTATTCAATAAGTCAAAGTATTCAATATGCCCTCTGAATGTCAATATCAGAGCAGAAAGACAAGCGATGTTAAAGGAATCAGGTTCTCAGATTACTGTATATTATTGTATTTGATTAAGGAATTAAGAATTGAATTCCTGCTTAGAATAGAATAACGTCTCCTTTTTTTCTGATTTTCATTATACAAACTTTATTACGTATTACGTGCAAATTTTTAAAAAATGACTGTAATATTATATATAATACCTCTGTTCAAGTTAGTACCTATTCTTATGTATTTTTAATAATCAAAATTAATTAAGATTTTACTTCAAATATACTACCATTTAAAAATCAATGGCTAGAATACAATACAATAACATGAAATAGTCATATATAACACGAGATTAAATATTATCATTGTATTATAAGAGACTTTAAGAGCAAGTAAAAGGGTGAAATAACACAGCAAAACGTTAGTCATGAATTAATATGTAGCTATGGTCTAATATATTGTATTTACTGCTACTTCAATACAAATATAACTTTAATCAATTAAATTATTGTTCTTCACAAGGAGCATTTCTCATGTTTATGATAACTGTGCTTTTTACTTAATTCAGGTCATTTCAAAACTCTTCAAAAGTTCAACTAACAAGTTAATACAGTTTTAATTAAACATTACCCCTTGCTCATCATCCCATTTAATTATTAAGGTGTAATTTTTTTCATACAAAAATATTTTTAACTGCTTCATTGTCTCTGATTCAAGCAAGCCTCAATTATACATAACTTCTTCATGGTTCACTAGCTTTGATTCAACACAGCTTCAGCAATACACAATTACTTCAGCTTTTGACTCAACCAAACCTCAAGAGATATATACACCGAGAAATACATCCAGCGTCTTGACCTATATATATATATATATATATATATATATATATATATATATATATATATATATATATATATATATATACGCAGTTTCCTTTAGTCCTGCATTACGTTTAGAACTAAAGTATACTTGATGGTTGCTCAATAAGCGAGTGTAGTGGCTTTATTAACCCTAAAGAGGTTGGCAGGTCTTAAGCCCAACATCAAACCAAAGCCAAGCCTCGGTATTACAAATACTGTTTCATAGTTCCTTATCACTGATTCAACATAGCTTTATGTTGAAATAATGATCATCAGGTTGCGAAACTTTAAGGACTTGTCACCTAGGAAAAACAATGATTCATGGTTTATATTTCTAATCTTATAAAATAAACTACAGTGTTTCAGTTCTTAATAAAACTAGAATTCGGTTTCTCTCACCTTTCAGGTGGGAAAGATGTTCACCTCATCAGATATTCTAGCTTTGCGAGATACCTCACATTGATCTCCTTGTTTCCTAGTTCACCTCACTTTCATATTTTGTTCTGGTTTACCTACTTCGCCTTGATTTATTAGTTTATCTCGCCTTGTTATCCTGGCTTATCTCAACACATCTTACTGTCCTCGTTTACCTTACCTTCCCTTGTTATATTGTCAGCTCGCTTTCTTTTTGAATATCTCACCTTCCTTTGTTGTCCTGCCTTAGTTCACATAATCCTGTTATATTGGCTTAATTCACTTCATATTGCTATCCTGGCTTAGCTTACTTCATTTGATATTCTGGCTTAGCTCAGCTTGTTATCATGACGCAATTGTTAACCTCATCTTGTTATCCTGACTTTCTACTTAACCACACACACTACATCCTGGCTTATCTTGACCTCACAGTGACCCTACTACACGACGCTTTCAATCCTGTCCAGCCATGAAGGTCCTGAAGAGGCGTAGTGTTGGTATAGGTTTTAGATGCTTCCTTCAGCACAGCTTGCTCTGTCTCGGTGTTGAAGGTTCAGAAGGAGCTCTCGTTGTAGAAGGCTGGGGAAGGACAGACCTCACTTAAGGAGATTGGGGGAGAAGATATCTCGTTGTAGGAGGATGTGGAGTAGAGATCTCGTTGTAGAAAATTTGAGAGATGAGATCTCTTTGCAGAAGATTGGAGAGAAGAGACCTCGTTGTTGAAGGGAAAGGGAGTAGGAGCTCTCGTAGTAGGCTGAGAGGAAGACTCAAGTGAGGCCCTCTACAGCATGGCTTCATCAGTCTCCTCAATGAAGGTTGGGGAAAATGACCTCTCGTTGTTGGGAGTCGTGGAGACGGGCCTCTGATCGCCGTTAGGGTAATCAAAATCATCTTCCTTCTCCCTCGTGAGGCTATCGCGGTTGTACTCCGTCTTCCGCAATATTCCCTGCACATAACAGTTAACTCACTTTAAAACAATGCAAAACATTTATTTCAGCATAACAAACCTATGCAATTAAAAAATACAAAACATAATTAAACCAAAAATTTATTATACGAAATGTTTCCAGATTCACGAAAGCACTTATGCAAACTCTTACGAACCTGTACATCTTTTCTCAATCTTTGGCGGCTTTGTTTCTAATTATTAAACAGTTAATGAGCTCCGAAGCACCAAGAGGCTGTTTATAACAATAACAACAGTAGAATGGGAAGTTTTCATGCTTGTAAACTGTTTAATAAATGTAACCAAAGCCGTCAAAGATTGAGAAAAAATGTACACGTTCGTAAGTGCTTGCGTAAGTGCTTTCGTGAATCTGTCCCCAGGTCACGACGAAAGGAAGTCGGGTCACAAGACAGGAAACAAGTGGGATGACGTGAACAGAACATTTAACTGTCATTGACAGTGACAGATGAAGCCTCCTTGCGGCAAACAATAAACTTAAATTGCTAAATCTATCATGAGAATTACTCATACACTTTAAATATATTATATGTAATATTAAAAGCAATTTCGTTGATAATGAAAAGCCTCACTGATGCGTTGGTCACCGACCTCAACACCCACACTAGACGAACATTATACACAAATCACAAATCTTGCACCGGAAAAATATAAGTTTCAGGTTTGTAAACTTACCATTTACGCAATAAAGAATGTCAAATGTACACTTTTAATACAATTCTTATTGACAGGTATTGTATGCGCGGTGCAATATGACCCGTTTTTGCACAACAAGCACAAGAATGCAACTACAAGCTTCAAACGAAATTGCAATATCAGTCATGTATAAATCACCGATAACATTAATTGAGCACAAAACGAGATTATAGCTGGTAGATGAAAGCCTTTCAGCTACAAATAGCTTCAGAATATCAGCCAGAAACCAGCAGACAAGCAGCGTAAGCCAGTGAAGGAGAGTGACTCCACCCTGGCGAGGATCCCACCCACCCCTCCACAACACTGCCTCTCACAGCCTCAGGTCTTCACTCTCCTTACACTCTCTCACTAACTCCTCCAGCACGAGAAATTGGAACATGAGCAGCAATCTTAATTATAAGGAAAACACTAGACATCGTGAGGATTGGAGTTGCATCTGTGAGCGGTAAAATCCTCGCCAGAGTTGAGTTACTCTTCGTCCTGCCATGTTACTCTAAATACAAGTGGAAGAGAGGCAGAAGCATCACACCTGTATAATCTGACCACTGTCCTCCGCCAGCTCTCCACACATCTCTTTAATACGCTCCCTCAGTTCCTCCACGGGCGTCATCTACAAATACATCATGGCTATTCAATACTCTTCCTTGCGCGCTTCAAACTCCTATCAAATGACAATCACAAAATATGCATCTGACGAGGATCTCTGGTTCAGTCAGTTGTAAGGCAACTGCGCCACTAGCCTCATGGTGGTGTCTCTCCCTATTGTTCTCAACACTCCACTCTCTGTAACTACTTATTATTACATTACTTTTTATATTAAACGATTGTAATTGCTCTGCGGATGTTGACTCCTCTGGCAAATAAATATATCAATAATTTGTTCTGTTTGGAGATGCATTTACAACTAAATATCGACCCCAGCATTTGTCACAAGATACATTGTGTGTAATAATAAAACAAATTATACATTAGTTATCATGCTGATGATCACTAACACGCAGGGTACTCATAAATCTTATTTGAATGCGTAGATACCTTCAACGGTCTGTAAACATGTCAGGCACAGACTATTAGGCATAAATATCAGCTATAAAATTAAGCCAAACCTCAGCTTGTCGTGCAGCGTTGCAATAAAACACGTTTTTACAAAAGCACAGAAACTCAGAACTACGAAGCTGCAAAACTAATTAAAGTGTAAATGTACTATCAAAAGAAAATATGAGTGCATAAAATAATACAAAAAGCAGAAATATCGTAGATATTCAGCTGCGAATTGCTTTAGAATACCGGTGTGAAGCCAGTGTGAGGCAGGCAGCGTTAAGCCAATAATGGAACTTCACTCCACGCTAGCGAGGCGTCCCCCACAACACGAGCGTAACAGCGCCAGCTCTCCCCTCCACTCTGACATAATTTCACGTGTGAATGAGGAAATGTGTAGCAAATATGCAAATCTCCCAATCTGT